TGAGTCAGTGATCTCTCACTAGCTCGTGTCAGCTAATTCCATGGGATTCCGCAGCATGGTCTTGACTCCTTTGTTCATATTATCACTCCTCCCTTACTTCAATACAAAATAAAGATTACGGCCTTTTACTATATGTGAGGCTTTTCCTAATATTTTATACTATGAAACATGTCAAAAAAATTGTAACGTGAGATGGGTCAAGTGAGCATAGGAAGGATAATTGCATTTTTTTTCTTAGTTGTCTTTCTGCAAGAATGCCTATCATCGTCATGCAGCTTATATTTCATTGTGTGTGAATTTGTATGATGCTAAAGATGCTTATACAACATTTAACGTTTACTATAAACTATAGTAAATTATTTGCCATTGAATAAAAATCTTTCCATAAACATTATAGATTCATAAATAAAATGCCAACTAGTGATAGAAACTGATGCCTTTAGAATTTTTTTTTTTGGGGGGGGGATTCAAGACAGGGTTTCTCTGTGGCTTAGGAGGCTGTCCTGGAACTAGCTCTTGTAGACCAGGCTGGTCTCAAACTCAAAGAGATCCGCCTGCCTCTGCCTCCCAAGTGCTGGGATTAAAGGCGTGTGCTGCCACCACCTGGTCAGTTTCTTTGGTTGTTTTGAGACAAGGTGTTTCTCTGTGTATCCTTAGCTATTCTTGACTGACCTGGAACTCAGAGATCCACCTGCCTCTGCCTCCTGTGTGCTGTGATTAAAGTCATGAGCCACCACCTCTCAGCTCAAGAATTTGATCTTAGTGGGTACAATTTTGAGTTGCATTTTCTTTTGTTTCCCTGGAAGTATTTTAGTTAGATGGTGAAATAAGTATTTAACTATGTTCAATGACCTTTTACTACCTTTACCACACAAGTATATGTGTGGTTCTGGAGGAAGTCAACATGGGGCATTTTCAACCCACTCGAGGTAGTGGGGTGTTTGTAGTACATTTTGTTAAGAGTGGATCTCTGTGGACACATGTCTAGGAAACACTGGAGGTTTTCCTTGAAAACATCACATCCTGTGTTCATTAAATAATTTTCTAAAATTGTGAGAGGGCCAATGTTTTGTGTCCTAGAATGCTTTCTGTGAATCAATTCCTGGTGTGCTGGGTACTGAGTCCTTCTGCCCTTGTGACAGCACAGTGGGCTGGGAATGAGCTAACCCCCCCCCCACACACACACACACACACACACACACTTGTCTTTTATAAGTACTTTCCTCATGCATTCCATACACTGACAGCTTCCACTCATACCATGATATGGCATATACTGGGAAGCATCAGTGTGGAGAAATGTCTTAAATAAGCTAATGTAATCTCCACCAAAAACTGCTGAAGGGTCACAAAAAAAGAAAAAAACTGTTGTAGTGGTTGAATTTTAATACAATCTTTTTTTTTTTAATTGGAGTAAAGTATATGTAAGGTCGCCGTTTTTAAGTGTGCAGTTCAGACAATAATACATTTACAATGCTTTAAAGCTATGCTGATTTCCACAGCAGCTGTTCAAGTTTGCACTCCCACCAACAATGGAAGAGTGTTGCCTTTCTCCACATCCTCTCCAGCATAAGCTGTCATTGGTGTTTTTGAATTAGCCATTCTGATCAGTGTAAGATGGAATCTCAGAGTGGTTTTGATTTGCATTTCCCTGATGACTAAGGATGTTGAACATTTCCTTATGTGTCTTTCTGACATTTGAGATTGTTCTGCTGATAATTCTGTTTAGATCTGTACCCCATTTTTTAATTGGATTGTTTGGTAGTTTGAGGTTTAGTTTCTTGAGTTCTTTGTACATTTTGGAGATCAGCCCTCTGTCAGATGTGACGATTTTTTAATTGGATTGTTTGGTAGTTTGAGGTTTAGTTTCTTGAGTTCTTTGGACATTTTGGAGATCAGCCCTCTGTCAGATGTGACACTGGTGAAGATCGTCTCCTGTTCTCATCCCCCGAGACTCAGGACCCCCCACCACAAATACCTGTCAAACGGTGACATCCCCACCTGTAGCCGGGATGCTGGTCAGCCTTGCATCTCTGAATTTCACTGTTTTTCATAATTCGTGTGGTATTTTTCTTTTGTGCCTGCCTTCAAAAAAAATGTTTTCAAGGCTTATTCTTGTTGTCAACTATATTAGAGTTTCTTTTGAAAGCTGAGTAATAGTCTACTGTATGTACTCACATTTCCCTCATGTCCTATCCGTCCACAGATACTTGAGCCACCTCCCTCATTTGGTTCTTGTAAGTAGAGCTGCTATAATCAATGTACAAATAACCATTCACCTTTGATTAAACGCTCAGAAGTAAAGTCTCAAGTCATGGTGATCATGTTGTGTTTCCCATAGCAGCTATACAGGTGCAGTTGCTTTAGCTGCTCCTCCATCTTAACCACCCCTTGACAACAGATATGCTGACAGTGTAGAGTGCTGTCTCCCCAGGGCTTTGATGCTCCTTTCCTGACTGTCTTGCTGGTAATATGGCCTAGATTTCTAACCAGCATTAGGCAAATCTTTGTGGGTTTTTTAATACATTTTGTAAAGTTAATCAGTGTTAATAAAAACATTAATCTCTAATGTTTTTATTGCTTGAAAGAACCAGAGATCATCAGAATTCTCCACCCAAAATGCATCAGTGCTTTCAGAATCCTCAAATAGCTTATACAGAGGCCCTCAGAGTCTCAAGAGCCTGAAATAACCCAAAACACAAGAACCTTTTATAAATTTTTATTTATTTATATTTTATGTATGGGTGCTTTGCATGTATACCTGTATGCCATAAGGGGGCATCAGATCCTATTATAGATAGTTGTTTGCCACTGTGAAATTGCTGGGAATTGAACTCAGGAACTCTGAATGAGTAGCCAGTGCTCTTAATCACTGAGCCATCTCTCCAGCCCCCATAAAAACTTTTAATATGGCCCAGCATCACCAAAAGGTTAGTTATCTTTTGTTGTATCAAACAAAGGTGGTTGCCATATTTCTACTTTGTACCTAATTTCTTTTTTAAAAAATAAGAAATACTGGTTTAGAACCTTAAAAGTAAAATCCATGTTTGATTCTTAGTCAGCCATAAAAATAAATCTACAAGCTAAGAAGAAATAAAATAGATGTATTATATTCTTAAATTTGCTGTCTGTTTTTTTGGGCCTTCATATTCCTAAGAGTATCCTTGCCTATGAAGAGAATAGTCAGGGGGGTGGAGAGATGGCTCAGTGGTTAAGAGCGCTTACTGCTCTTGCAGAGGTCCCAGGTTCGATCCCCAGCACCTACATGGTGGCTCATAACCATCCATGACTTCAGTTCTGGGAATCTGATCTCTGAGAACACTAGGGACATACATAGCATACATACATCCCTGCCAACTGTTTTAGACTTTCTGTTGTTGTGGTAAAACACCATAATTAAAAGCAACTTGTGGAGGAATGGATTTATTTTGCTTATACTTCCATACCGAAGTCCATCACTGAAGAAAGTTAAGGTCGGAACCTGCAAGCAAGAACTGATGCAGAGGTCATGGGATGGTGCTGCTGACTGACTTGCTCCTGGTGGCTTGCTCTGCCTGCCTTCCTAGAGTACCAAAATCACCAGTCCAAGAGTGGCATTGCCCTTAGTGCACTGGCCTTCCTACATCTGTCATCAAGTAAATGCACCACAGGCTTGCCCACAGGACAGTCTGATGGGGACATTTCCGCAAATAGGGTTCTTCCGGAATGAATCTAGCTTGTGTCAAGTTGACACAAAACTAGACAGAACACTTATGTACACAAAATAAATCTTTGAAAAGAATGGTGGTTAGGCTTTGGCTGCTACAAAAAAAGTGATCTTTGCCATTGGCTGTGTCTCATCTGAATTCACAGCACTGATTTGCATATGAGTTTTTACTCCAAAGAGAAGGGGCAACTTCTGTAGCTATAAAAACAGTTGACTGCTGAGTGTTTCAGTTGAGTTTCATCAAGAAAATTATTTGTGTAAGTCTTTTGTAAGGAGATTTTTACTAGTTTTTCTGATTTTACAAAGTATTGTGTAAGTCTTTTGTAAGGAGATTTTTACTAGTTTTTCTGATTTTACACAGTACTTCTTATAATAATTACTTTTCAGAGATGGTGGAAGGCTGGAGAGGTAAGAGCACTGGCTGCTCGTCAGAGGATCTGAGTTTGATTCCCAGCTCCCACATCCTGGGGCTCTGATGTTCTTTTCTGGTCTCCACGGCCCCCTTCATATATGTGACAGACACTCAGACAGATACACATAAATAAACATGTCTGAAAACTTGAATGCTGAATTTTGCTTAATATTAAGCCACTATTGGTTACGTGATATTGAAAACAATCTAAAGACCTCCCCGAAGCAGCTTGTTGAATTTCATCATCACGCTCCCTCAATGCCTCTGTCCGTTGCCAGCACAGCTGAAGCTCCTCTGCCGTTCTGAATACGGTATTGGCACCTGGTCTTCCTATGAGGGACACAGTCTGAGAGTCACTAATGTAGAAATGCACAGGCAAGTCTGATCAGAGATTTACCTATCTCTGCCTCCCAAATGCTGGCATTAAAGGCATGTACCACCACCTAGCTCAGTAATATTTTTTAACCAGGCTTGTGGACAGGTAGCATATATAGCATGGATACACCAAAAAAGCCATTTCATGTTCTGTGTAGGACAGAGTAGTATTTCAGCATGCCGCCCAAACATTTCAATTTCAAGCATTTATTTCTGGAATTTGCAGTTGGCATGGGTAACTGAAACCGTTGGTTATCGGGCCCCTCAGCTCTAGCTTGGCCCCTCCTTGGCCTGGAACTGTACCGTTTTTCCCGTGCGCTGGCGTGTTTTGTAGGAGTTCTGTATGCCTGCTCTACTCTAAAGCTTGCACTATGGTGCTACTTCACAATCCTGCCTGAGTCAAAACCCAGAGTCACACACGAGCTTGGCAGTGCTCTCTCCCCTGAGGATCACCCCGGTTCCATAAATCTGTTCCAATTTGTAAGTTTCCTGGTTTTCATTTCACAGCTGTATGCAGGCGCTATCCTTGAAGTCTGTGGATGAAAATTGGGGCGGTTCCCTCAAGTCCAAGGTATGTAGCAACCATTGAAAATTCATTTGCAAGAACAATTCATTTCACTCAACATTCCCAGGACTGTGGATGTTCAGGAGTACACCCTGTAGCAGTATAGGAATGTTCTGCATTCTTTTTTCCAGAGGGGGAGTTTTAATAGAAAACTATGCCGACCAGGTTATTTACTATAAACAAACACAACATGAAAGTTAGATTTAAAACAGAGCCTGAAGTGAGTCTTTCTTTAGAAAGATACTCTTGTCAGGTGTAAATTTAGGGTAGCTTTTCTTTCAGCAGATAGAAATAGAATTCTTTTCAGTAACACATTCTAGTATGTTTTTTAGAGGAAGTTACAGAACATTGCATTAAGTAGGCCTGTACAGTGTCACAAACCAGCAAGAGGAGAATTAATGACCACAGGACTTAGGGATGCATTAGAGAATCATTCTGTGTGTGTCATCACAGGGCATTTTAGTGACAAATATGTTAAGAAATAATTGTCCAAGTCTGTTCTTGCCATTAACATCAAACTGATGAGCCTCGCATCTCCGGAAGCCTTGCATGTTTACCTTGAAAATCAGCTTTATGAGCAGTCAGGGCACGGTGACACACAATTTTAATCCCACCACTTGGGAAATAGAGCCAGCCTGATCTACAAAATGAGTTTCAGGACAGCCAGGGGTACACAGTGGGACCCTGTCTCAAAGTCACCAGAAAGGAAAGAGAAAAAAGAAAATGAGCTTTCTGAAACGGACTCCTTATCAAAGCAGTTCCTTCTTGGTTTTGGTTGGTGCTTTGGCTCAGGTCTCACAGTATCAGCAGGCTGCATGCTCAAGTGAGGGAGCCTGTGTGAGCCTGTGGAGCTAGAGTCACAAGCGTGTGCCACCACGGCTAGCTTTCTTGTAAGTTGAAGTACAGACGGTTCTTTTTGTGTCCCTAAAATCTGTTTGGATTTTTGGCACAGACTCAGCCTCCTAAATACTGTGCTTACAGCTATGCACACCCCGAGTTGAACTCAAGGTTCTCTTGCACCCCCTCCCAGCATCACGCTTATAGCTGCACACACCCATATTTAAATTCCTATAGAGTTTTTCAGTTGCCCTCCATTACTTTGTAAATTTTATTATAAATTACAAACTGGGCTTGCTGACCCCAGGTAGGAAACAGAAATGAGGCAACTAGTATATCCCTTATATTTTAAAAGTTAAGTTTTTTAGCTGTCTTTGGGGGGGGGGTCTATAACAATAAGTCTTTCCACCAAGCTGCCCGAGCCCTTTTGCCATGTGGGCGCTTTCCACCAGGCCATCCAAGTTCCGCCCACTGCCGCGTTAAGGTCCCAAGTAACAGACAGAGACTTATATTAAGTACAAATGCTGCTTGGCCAATGACTAGAATTCTCATCTGTTAGCTCAGTCTTAATTATCATAAATCTGTGTATTTTATTAGACTTACCGGACGCCAGCGGTAAGCGTCTTGTCTTCCCGGGCTCACATGGTGACTCTGTGCTTTCTCCTACTTTTCCCAGAATCCTCCTTGACTCCTAGTCCCCCCTATCTTGTTTTCCTATTGGCCAACAGTACTTTATTTATCAACCAGTAAGACAATCATACACACAGAAGCGCATTCCCCATCGGGGGTCTGTGCTAACAATGGGGCCCAGGACCTTCCACACGCTACTACGCCAACATTCTACTGCTGAGCTGTGTCCCTAGGCCTCTGAGCACGCATTTTAATGTACTTTTCCAGTTTACTTTCTCCATCAAAGCATGTGGGACTGTTTTATCTGTTACAAAATGTCAGATTTAGTAATAAATTGTTTTACATGAGAATAGGAAAAAGTCCTTTTGGCATCTTTATTTATGTTAAAGAAAGGCACCGTTTTATCTTCAAGTTGATTTTTAAATTTTCAGTTCTTTCTTTCATTTTTATTGCCATATCTTTGTCACTCCAACATAATGAAATCTTTCAACTCAAAGTGCTTATTACCTATTGTTAATGTAATAATAGCATTTGGGCTGAGGTATATCTTAGTGGTAGAGTGGCTACCCTGAGGTAGAGCACTAGCCTGAGGTCTTGCTGGCTTTGATCCTTTGCATTGAACAATTGCCTTGGTGCTGGCAATTGAATCTCAACCCAGCTACACGGTTTTGTTTTGTTTCCATTTTCATTGCACGCAGCACTGGGCTGGGTAACATTTTCATACATGTATATAACATACTTTGAGCATGTCTCCATCCCCACATGTCTCCCCACTCCCAGACTCAGTTGTGTTTTCATTGCACGCAGCACTGGGCTGGGTAACATTTTCATACATGTATATGACATACTTTGAGCATGTCTCCATCCCCATATGTCTCCCCACTCCCAGACTCAGTTGTATATTTCCTACAAAATGAAAGAGAAAGCCAACGATGTTGTTTGTCCTGAGGCTGACTCAGTTCACTTAATGTGACACTTTTTATGGGTCCCTTTCCTTTATCTTTATTTCTTGGTGGTCTAAGAAAATTGTAGCCTTCATGGCATTAAAGAACCCATGATGTTGTGTAGTCTGTGCAATACAATGTGTATATATATCTCAAATAACTGTTAAAAGCATCATTTACTGCCTGTACAGCGTGGCTTGCTGCTACAATATTCGCCTCTTTCAGAATTATGCTTCTGGGTCTATGTTTAGCAGAAACCCTACTGGGATTGATCATTAGTGATTCACCATGGCATTCCTTTTAAGTCTGTTCACTCAGTCCAGCCCATTAAAAGGCATTTGAATGAATGGAAATTATTAAGTGTGCTGACAGCTCTGCTTGGTGTGTAGGAAAGATTTTAAATAGTCTTTTTCCCATAGTAGTTTCTTACATAGCTGAAAAAGTGGCCTGAATAGCTGGAAGTGTGTTAAGTGTAAGGTGGTGTTTTGCCAGGCATGCATATAGGATGAGCCAATCAGGTAATCTACAATATGGTGTTTATTGGCTTCATTCATTTTTATTTTCCATCTATATGGGTTTTTATTTCTTTATTAATAAGATCTCTTTTTGTGTGTTAACAGTTTTTACCTATTTTTTTTCATTTTTACTCGAGTTTTGTTAATGGCAATGTCCTGCTGCCCTAAAATTCCTGTGTTTATGTAAACACATCTGTAAAAACGTTTCCTTTAGGGCCATGCATAAGAGAAGAGTTTTATATTTCATATTCATTAAGTTCTTTATATTATACATTTGATAATGTTCCAAGCCCCTCCTTTATAGTTACTTAATCACAGTTTAGGGGGGTTATTTGTTTAATGTCTTCTTTACCAGATTATAAATTTACTAAGGGTAAGGATTATATATATTTTATATACCTTTGCTGCCTGGAACATAGTAAATCCAGTAAATATCTTTGCAAATTTAAATTCTTACTCCATCTGTAATATAAGGTGATGTAGGTTCCTGGTTTTTTTCTTAGTATTTGACACTGTCCCATCAACTAATCCACATAAGCACAACCCTCAAGTGTGCATATCCCCACCACTACCACCATCCTGATTCTCTTTGTAACTCCGTCGCTGGAAGATTCTTACAGGTGTTTCTGTTCTGGGATTGGGGATCACGTGTAGGTAAACTGATTTCTCCTCGTATTTCTTTTGTACTGCCACAGCTGGTGACAGCTGAACTGTGCTATCATTCTGTCAAGCCCACAAAACTACTGTTGGAGTCTGGGCTACTGTTCAATTTGAAACAATGTCTTAAGCATTTAGATAGGGATAGCTCTACATTTGTTCATCATCTCCTTAAATTTCCTTAGTTCTCACCTAGAACGTACTTGGTTTCATTCAACATATTGTATTTAATCTTGATAGCTAGCTTGGTGACCCATTTGAATCTTCTTCTTTTTTTTTTCCTTTAAGCTTTTGTCAGAAGCGATAAGCCCAAACTGTTCAGGGGTCTACAGATCAAGGTAAGGGGACATGGTGGGACGGATTAACTTACTAGAAATTTTTAGAGACTAGTTTGTGATTTACCAAAAATGCTGAGTCAGATGTTTAATAGACTTTGACCCTGTTCTCCCTGGTTTGGGTTCTTCTAAAAAATGCTGTTTTGTGGTGCAGGTTTTCATAGTTCATATAAAATATGGCTTGACTGTCTTATTCTTACTGTTGGCAATAGAGATTGGCCATTAATCTTACCCACAGTTATTGTCATGTAATATTTACAATTAAATCTGTTTTTAAAGCCAGTAAGACAATAAATACAAACGTGAGCCTCAGTAAACTGTTTGCCCTCACTTGGAACTGGGCTTGGAGTCTGTAGTTACAATTGTATGGCTGTGTTCTGAGGAAGCCGAGCAGGCACCTGCGCTTGCACCAGCAGTCAGTGCTCGTTCGTCCCTGGCCCCAGAAGCCATTTTGTGGTTAATGTCTCTGCCATTTGTTTGGGAGTTTGGGGTGGGATTTATGGTTTGCTTGGTGGGCTGTTTTGTTTTGTTTTTGGTGTTTTGGTTGTTTTTGTCAAATACTTTTTGTGTATCTGTTGCTATGGTTTTACTATCTGTTTATAGTAAGAGGTTGTATTAATTAATTTTCAGATGTTATACCAGCCTTGCAAATGCTAAGCATTCTGCAGTCCTAGCCTCTCGTACACATTATTGGTGTGAGTCACTAATGATTTTGTTGAGAAATTTCATAACTGAATTAGTCTGTCTAACCTATCTGGATTTTTGTTGGACAATGAATAACTTGAAATAAACATTTAAAAATCTTAGAAACAGTTTATGTAGTAGCCTCGTCAGAAGTGTGTAGGTATTGTTCTCAGTGTCATTAGCATTGACTTTAGTCTAAATGCCCACTGGTACTTGGGAGTAAGCTAAGTGCTTAATGTGCAGGCTCTAGCACCACAGAAAATAAAAAGATGGCGAGTGGGAACCCCTCCCCCCATGGCTAGAGTTAACCCTTTAAACACTGAAGCTTATAGGTAGGAGAGTAGTGGCTCAGCAGTTAGGGACACTAGCTGCTCTCACAGAGGACCCAAGTTCAGTTCACAACACGAGCGTGGCCACTCACCTCCACAATTCAGTGTCCTCTTCTGGCCTCTGAAAACACTGCATACACAGCCACACAAAAATGAAGGAGTAAATCCCTATAAACACAAGCATAGTAGCAGGAAATAAGTACCTTGCTTACCACCGCTACATTTTAGTTGTAGTTCCACATAATTTGGAAAAAGATAATTGTCATAAATTGTTCTGCATTTGTCTGTCACTACCATTAAGTGTTAAGTTCACTGGATTTGGGAGAGCCTTATCTATAATAAAACTTGCCGTATTCAGTATTAGGCTTTAAAATCCCAATTAAATTATCCAGCAGATAATTCTCTCCTGGGAAGTAACATGTAGTTTTCTTAATTCTTAAGAGTTTTTGAAATCACATTCAAGTCTTTTCTGGAAAACACTTCCTGATGATTGTAATGTATTATTAAAAGCTGTTAAAATTGTTAGTACAGTTAGTTGAGCCATTTTGGTGTTAGTTGAGAGTAAAAAGCCTCCTTCTAAACAGGAAATGATGATATCTCTGCTGATGATTGTAATGTATTATTAAAAGCTGTTAAAATTGTTAGTACAGTTGAGCCATTTTGGTGTTAGTTGAGAGTAAAAAGCCTCCTTGTAAACAGGAAATGATGATATCTCTGTCTTTGTAGTATGTTCGAGGTTCAGACCCTGTCCTAAAGCTTTTGGACGACAACGGGAACATTGCAGAAGAGCTGAGCATCCTCAAGTGGAACACGGACAGCGTGGAAGAGTTTCTCAGCGAGAAGCTGCAACGCATATAAAGCTTGCCTCCTTGTTCTTCTCTTACTGTCAGACGGGCTATCACAGAGATAGAGAATGGTCATCATTTCATGTATGTCACTAATGTTCTGAGCACACCCATTTCTTAGAAATTTCTGTGCTGCACTTGTTGATACCACTAATGACATTGCTTTGTAATCGGCTTCTGGCTAATTATGCAAATAATAGCTTCTGATAATTGGCCCAGTTTTATAAACAACAGAATCTTCAATAAGAGAAGTTAATAAAGGAGACACCTCCTTTGCTGTGTGCTCCTTTGAAAGCAACAGAAAACCACAAAACAGTAAGATGATTGGACCTCAGCAACGAGCCTGCTCCTTGGAGACCCTCACATCTTTTGTATTGCCCAGCTTTCTTTTTAGTAGAAGTATTTGTGCCACATGAAATTTTTGTAGCCTTATTATTATGGGACAGATTGAAAATATACAGTAAGAATGTAAACTCATAAAGGTTTGCATTAATGAGGATTACACAGAAAACCTTTGTTAAGGATTTGTGTAGATCTGATAATTGGCAGATTTTTATGTTTTTAAATATTCTTACAGAAAAGTTCCATTTAAGAATGTTCACTTGTAGGACCAAAATACAAATAAAAACTTTCAAAAATGGAATTTAAAATTATTCTGGTTTGTCCTGTCCTGTTTCTCAATGCATTCCTTTTTCATATAAGCTCCTTTTGAAGCCAAAAATACAAAAAATGACTATTATTTGGAACTTAATAGCTTTTAATTGCAAACAATGTGAAGTGGTTATTAATCTATCCGCCCTCTTTTGTCATGTAACTTCTAAAATTAAGTCTTTTTAGAGTCAGTAAGACAATGAATACGAACCTGTATGACTTGGCTCACCAAGTAATGTAAGAGACCCTGGCAAAGGGTGCTCTGCTTGTGATCATCTGCAGTGATGCAGGGGCCTGCGATTTGACAGCCCAGGTCTTGGTGAATGTGCCAGTGATCCTCGGTGGTTATTGCTATTTTAGAACAAGAGGGAGATTAAGCCGGTTGTGGACAGAGAAGTTGCCACCACAGACAGAAGAATAGAGGTATTGAAGGATGAAACTTCAAAAAAGAACTTCTGGCATTGACATAGAAAATAAATTGGGCTGGCTTCCGGGCAGGAAGAGCCAGTTAAATGAGTATCTGCTTGGGGAGGGGAGTGAGATGTTTAAAAAGAGGCCTGAAAAGTCTATTGTCTTCTAGTGAGGAGAGATCAGAGAAGCCGAAGCCGCAGCATCCAGAGCAGAGCCTGACAGAGTGTCTGCTGCAGCCTACATCTTAATTGAGAGTTTCTAGTCCATCAGCCAATTCAAAGTGGTCTTGCCGATTGAAATCCAAGAACAGCTTTTTAAAGAAACAAAACTACTGATTACCCAGAAAGGGGTGTACATTGTGATTTAAAAAGCACCGTCTTTGTACCCAGTTCCTGGTGCTTGATTGAGCTCGTTCAAATTCATAAACCGTTGTGACTTTTCTCCACTTTCAGAATTGTGTTACTAATAATTTCAACTGTTTTAAGTTCCCTCTAAATTTTGCAGAGGTTTTTAAATAAGGGCCTGTGAGCAAGAACTGCCTTCTCCTGTTAACATGATTGAAGCTTAAACATGATTCTAAAATCCAAAGTAGAGTACTGTAAACAGGAGCATGTGACATGTATGTGCATAGGCTGACAGAGATCTTGCTCGAGGCTCCTGGAACACAGCTTCAATATTCACTGACGCCGCAGAACGCGGGTTCCGTATTCACTGACGCTACAGAACGTGGGTATAAAAGTCACATAATTTAGGTGCATTAAGAACGTCATTGTCCACTAAATGATCTTTGGGGATTCTCTTTTAAGCTGATCTGTTCTGCCTTCTGTTGCTTTACTCGTTTTCCTCTTCCAGCTTCCATCCAGAGACCAGAACTCTTCACATAGGAGTGTGGTCTCTCTCTGTGTCCGAGGCAACCTTTAAACCTCTCACAACAAAGCACACAATTACAGTTAAAATAATGAAGAAAGAACATTACTAGGAAAAAATCACGTACAAGACAGACATGCTAGGCATCTTGGAGAATGTGAGGTAAGCAGGTAGAGCCCAGAGGTCGCCTCTCCCCCCAGCCCCTAGACTGCCTGTGAGCATTCACTGACGTTACAGAACACAGCTTCCGTATTCACTGACGCTACAGAACACAGCTTCCGTATTCACTGACGCCGCAGAACGCGGCTTCCGCATTCACTGACGCTACAGACCGCGGGTTCCGTATTCACTGACACCGCAGAACGCGGATTCCGTATTCACTGACGCTACAGAACGCGGCTTCCGTATTCACTGACGCTACAGAACGCGGATTCCGTATTCACTGACGCTACAGAACGCAGCTTCCGTATTCACTGACGTTACAGAACAGGGGTTCCGTATTCACTGACGCCGCAGAACGCGGGTTCCGTATTCACTGACGCTACAGAACGTGGGTATAAAAGTCACATAATTTAGGTGCATTAAGAACGTCATTGTCCACTAAATGATCTTTGGGGATTCTCTTTTAAGCTGACCTGTTCTGCCTTCTGTTGCTTTACTCGTTTTCCTCTTCCAGCTTCCATCCAGAGACCAGAACTCTTCACATAGGAGTGTGGTCTCTCTCTGTGTCCGAGGCAACCTTTAAACCTCTCACAACAAAGCACACAATTACAGTTAAAATAATGAAGAAAGAACATTACTAGGAAAAAATCACGTACAAGACAGACATGCTAGGCATCTTGGAGAATGTGAGGTAAGCAGGTAGAGCCCAGAGGTCGCCTCTCCCCCCAGCCCCTAGACTGCCTGTGAGCCCCAGGGATCCTCCCGGCTCTGCCTCCCCAGCCTTGGCTTACAACATTGCCACCAACGCCCTTTAAAAAAAAAAAAAAAAAACAATAGAAGCAAGGTTACTGGGGATCAAATTCAGGTCTTTGTTCTCGCAATTACCTTACGGACTAAGCAATCTCCCCAGCCCCAAGTCTAGCATTTCACACACCAAAAAGATGCTCAACACGTCTGACAGAGCCCAGGGAGTTGGGTGAAAAGTAATAGGGAATGACCTTGGGAAGGAGGCAAAGGCAACACAGTGCGTGCCATCTTAAGAATTTAGCTGTATTCCAAATTCTCAGAACGAGAAAAAGCCTTAAGTAAATGAATGACTAAGTTCAACGGTGACGGTCATGGACAAAGAGCAAATACTTATGCCTGTCTCATGCTTTCACTGAAGGTAATCTCTTTAGGAGTCTCAAATGCACAATATGCTCTTTTTTCCAATTTGCTTTTTAAAACTACTCAACTTCCTTTGAGGGAAAATACAAACCTAAGCATAAATGTTAAATTGAGTTTCCAGTCTTCATTTGCATTAGTCCACCCTTAGAGTATTCACTAGCTTTGTGAAACAAAGGGAATTTTGTATTTTCCCATTCTCTGAGGGCCCTCCTCCTGTCTTGTCTCTGTTGATAGGTCTCCCTTTGTTGTCCAGGCTGGTCTTGAATTCCTGGGTGAAGTGATCGTCCTGCTGCAGCCTCCTGCATCACTCCAGACCAACATGAATCAAATCTAGCTCTTTATAGAACCGGAAAGAAATGTACTGAGGTGTCTGGCTATGTAGCCAGGCTGACTGGAAGCTTGGAATCTTGCTGCCCCAGCCTCCTGGGTGCTGGGATTCCAAGCATGTGTGAGCCATCACATCCCCCATACAGCCAAGATGCCAGGGCTTATCTGATCTAAATCACTCCAGGTCTACAGCACTACTCTGCTTAACTGCATTCTGGTTCCGCTCTTCCTAGCTTGTGCATCAGGATAAGGACCTAGATGCCAGACTCTGATACACTTTTGACCTTATCCTGCCTAGCATGATCCTATTAACAGTGGCTTGAACACCCTCACCAAACTCCCTATAGCTGAGTTTCTTTCAAAGCAGTGACACCCCGAAACCTAATCAAAATGATTGTCTTCCTCACAGATCTGTAAGTAGGGCTCCATGGGAGCAGATCATCTGTTTGTGAGGCTCCTCTTCCTTAACCCAGCTGGCTCATGACACTCTTTCCCTTAGGTAGCCTGGATTTCCTCCCAGGATGGTAAGCAGGCTCCAAAAATAAGCATCCTTAGAGGTCACTGCCTTTCTTCAATACATGGTCCAGAATTGCTACATCTACACAAGCTTGAGGGAAATAGGCACTCGTTGAAGGAATGAGATTATTAGCATCTGTCACTGTAACGAAACACCTGAGATACCAGCTTCTAGGAGGAAGGGTATTTTGACTCATGGTTTCACATACTGTGATCCACAATGCTTGGCCTGTTGCTTTGGAGCCATGACAGAAGTACTTCACGGCAGGAAACACCTGACGAAGGATGCTGCTCATCTCATGGAGGCTGGGAGATGAAGGAAAAAAGAAGCCTGGAATTCCAACATTCCCTTCCAGGCGTGCTGCCAACAACCTAATAGCACTACCTGGCCACACTTAGAGGCTCCACCACCTCCCGAGAGCACCACGGGCTAAGAACTAGCCTTCAACACTTGGACTTTTGAAGGTACTCAAGATCCAGACTGTCCTGCAGGTGTTGAGTTTCTCAGGTCTGTTTTAAATACGCTTTTAATTGTGTATATATGTGGGCAGAAGAGGACACTGGATCCCCTGGAACTGGGGTTACAGGTAATTATGAGCTGGTTGTGTGGGCACAAAGAACCTAACTCCGGTCCTCTGCAAGACAAGTGAGCCCTCTCAACGGCTGAACCATCCCTCCACCTGCAAGGTTTAGTTTTCTGTATGTATGCAGGTATAAGTCTGCTTGGCAGTATGTACAGCTCAGGGAGGCCAAATGAGAATGTCCGATTCTCACAGTGGGGTTACAGGTGGCCCGGAACTGCCCCATATAGGTGCTAGGAACTGAACGCAGGTCCTCTGCAAGAGCAGCAAGCATGCCACTGACAAGCTGTCTATCCCTGGCCCCTGCAGGCGCATTTTAACACGTGCGAACTACCCATCTCCAGCCAGTACTACATTGGGGGCGGGGTTAGGGGTGGGGGTATTGTTTTTTCATTTGCTCTCAGGATTTTTCTTCCATGTGGGACTTTGAGAAACCTGAATCTCCTAACCTGCAACTCCAGATCAGTCCATCTGTCATCTGGTGACTCACTGTTGCGATATCTAATGTAAGCAAAGCAACTTAATCACCTTTGAACTGCTAAGGAACCTTGCAGTGTGACATGAATATCTCCAAGCTCAGTGCAAGGCCTTCAGCCTTACATTCACCCAGTTTCTCTGCACAAGTCAATAAATAACTGTGGATATCTGGTCACCTTATCTGTAATTTGGATAAATGGACCTTGTATTCTGGGATACTATCTATGTTTAATAATTTAACATGTCTTCTGATGTATCAACTTGGTTAGGCCACAGTACCTAGTCTCTTCAGACATCAGAAGTGGCTATAAAGACACTTTCTGGCTGTGATTAGCGTGTATAAAATGACCTCTGTAATGAAGGCAGTGATTTTAAGAATAGCCAGGCATGGTGGTACACACCTTTAATCCCAGCACTCGGGAGGCAGAGGCAGGTGGATCTCTGAGTTTGAGGCCAGCCTGGTCTACAGAGCAAGTGCCAGGGTTGGCTCC